AAATATTTATTTAGGAAAAAACTATACCAATGATGAATATGACCTTGCGGTGACCCCGTTGCAAACTATTTGGAGCCACTGACCCGCATGTCGACCCCGCTCTCTTCCTGTCTTTCTTTGATCCTGAGCTACCATCGAGTAAAGGCAAAAAATAGAATCATTACTTGATTCAGGCCTGCTGCATGTAGGCTTCCTTGCCTAGGGTTTTATGAGAACATAAATATCACTCTTCTATATTCTCATTTAGCTGTGCCAGCAGTTAGGTTAACCTACCATAAACACTTCAAACTGTGGCAAACAGCTCGCAGGGTAATACAATCTACCAACAAGCACCTATAAAGCTCACTAATCAACATGTTATACCAGTAGAAAAAGTGTAAAACTAATAAATGTTTTTCAGGGTCCTAATATGTGCCAGATTATTTCCTAGGCATGACCAGCAACTTCCTGAGTCTCCACTGGATGGCTGGCAACTGCTAACGGTCAAGTGATAGTCTGGCACGTGTCCATATAACAGTAAACGACATATAATGTTTTTTTAAGGATGCTTTAGAAGCTCTGAGGAGTGGATTTTTTTTACAGTTTGACAAAGAGCCAGGCTAGCTTTTTCCCCATTTCAAGTCTTTTTGCTAAGCTAAGCTAGCTGCAATTAGCTCCAGCTACATATGTACTGACTGTTCATATGTGAGAATGTTATCAATTCTCTAATGCTAACTCTTCAGCAACTCTGTTTCTAGTCTTTATGCTAAGCTAAGCTGAGCTAAATGCGATTAGCTGCAGTAACATATGTACTGTCTGTACCCATGTGACAGTGCTATCAATCCTCTCACATAACTCTTCAGCAAAACAAATAACATATCCCAAGATGTCGGTGTCTTTGAACTGTTTCTTCAAACGAGACTCAAGGCAGCTTCAGATCATGATATTCTCATAAATGCATCCTATTGGAAAGAATGCTAAAAATGAATAATGTGCATACCAGTATTTGACTCAAGGTGAACCTGCTGTCTCTTTATTATTTCAACATGATGGAGTAGATCTCTTATACACCCGGTGCATTTCCTGAGCATTGGTTATGCCTTATTAATATGTTATTGAGCAGAATATAGTAAGGGCAGAGGTCCATATCAAGTTCCAACCTGCAGATGATTTGTAGCTGTGTTGTATGTTACTGATACCTTATGTTGCAAGCCTCCGGAAATTTGTTGCAGGATGTTGGAAATAAGATTCCTATCAATGGTGTAGCGCAGATGAAACCAAGCAGATCGGGTCAGCCAATAATGGATTGAAGCTCATTTCTACGGTTTCTAAGCCGCTGATAATGAAGAGCAGAAGGTGAAACAGGAGGGAAAAGGAACGTGGAGCCAAATAAATGCTTGTGATGTCTCCACAGTACACCTGAGACTGGTGGTGTGATATTAAACATGAAACAAACCAAATGGATTTTATTACAGAGTAATTATTCTGCTCCTTTCATAGCTTAGCACAGGCCTCTTTGCTTTCTAAAGTGCCTTTTGATGATGATGGATATCTTATTAAAACAATTATTCTTCAATGAAAAACAACTCAAAGATGAATAGTGCCCATGGGATTTTAACATCTTAAAAGTTGTTATATTGATCCATTTAACATTTGTTGTGGTTTTTAATTAGGTGTTGGTTTTATTTTGGGTAATTTGATCAATTCTAATGGCTACTGTAATGGAAGTATATAAATATGTGTGGGATACTAAATTGCATGTTGTCAAACCTAAGGTAATGCATTTGCTCACTTTAAATGGTCTATTGATGATATTTGTTGCTATGTGTACCGCACTCTGTGTCTTTCTTTTCTATAACAATCAAATAATCTAAAGGATGACAACCATAGGATGACAACTCTATTTAGTGTGAAAAAGGTACACAATATCTTAAAAAATGAATCCATATAAATAAGATTGGTGGGTTCTGCTTTCAAGTCCATGAAAATCAGGTTCAATTGACAATTTATTGCAGTTATCGTGAAAGACGTCTTCAGGCAGGGTAAGCAGACAAAGGGGGGGAGAGTGGAGTGATCACTTTACTCTAAGGGATGGAAGATTTTCCTGTTATCTACTAATCTTCAATTACTCAATATCCAGAATAATTTTGGCCTCAATCAACTGATCCAGTGAAGCAGAGTTAAGAGTTAAGCGGAAACAGATGAGAGCCTTCGGGGAAGATGTTGCCAACTCTTTTGCAGGAGAATGTGTTGGCACTGGTATGCATGGATTTTTGTGTGTGTTTTAGTTAAAGGCGTAAAATACAGCGGTTGAATTGCTTGGTCATTCATAAACAAATCAAACAATATGAGGGAAAGGAGCCATACAGCTGTGGTCAAGACAACACACCCATGTTTCCCACATTATGCTATTTTCTCTCACTCTGACCCATTTAGTCTCTCAACCTCAGTCTGGTGTTGCAAGACATAAACCAGCCTGGATTTTAAACATGGCAAAAACAAAGCTACAACAGGTATTCAATGAATTTCAGATAGCAACATTCAAAGTAATCTGTTACCTTTCTCTTGAAATTGGTGCAGGCATTTAGGAAAACACAAAGGGACACATAATGGAAACTGTAATGACTTGAAAAATGAAAATCTGTTCTAAATAAAAAAGGGAGAGATAATGGAGTTTGAGTCGTGATGAATCACAGTATCCACCAGGGGAAGTATCTGTGTTACAATAATAAAGTACACAGTATGTTTATATAATGTATAAATGCCACGTGAAGAAGAAAGCCTATGTGAAAATAAGATCTTAGACTAAGTCGATTAATGCAGTCTGCACTCCTTTAAAACCCAGGCCTCATATTTTCTGAAGATTTTTAAAAATGTATTCTTGAATATTTAATACAATATATCATCTCTGCTGTGGAGTTTTAGTGTATCTGCAGTAAAGACATCTTAAGGATGTAGATGTGCATGAGTCTAGCTCATGGTCTAGCTCAGTGGGTGAGGCTACAGACATCAGGTCCAAGTTGACTCTATGGGTAAAGACTGCCCTCTCAGGGTTTACTAAGTCAATTGCAGATAACATGGCAGCCTGGATCCCAGCCATCTGGCTTTATACACAGTATAATGCACTTCACAAGTGAATCAATAGTGATAAGTTCTAATCGTTGTTTTCTTTGCACATAATGAAAGCGTTTTACACAATATTACGTAGGACTAATGAAATATAAGGACACTTAATTAATGTGTCAACAACCTTTCATAAAAAGCTTCCATGACTACTGTATAAACAGTAACATAACTATCAACACAGTTTATAATCAGTTGGAGATTTAACAAACGTTCTTAACTCAAAGTCCACTTACTGGGTTTCTTCTGGAGCTTTCTTGATGCATCTTGTTGCATCTTATGGCTTTCATTTGTGGATGGGGATCATAATTGCCTGAAGAGTGAAAAAGAAAGAAGGACAAATTATTATATACTTCAATAATAACCATGCTCATTTAATATAACTCATATAATACATTTGATTAATGGGTATGATAAATAAATATGTCATGTTTGATATCCACATAAAACATAAAGACATAATTCTTATTATGATTTCAATTATCCATTAAATTTTTAGGCACAGGTTAAGGATGATTCACAGGAGCAGTTATAGTTGTATGGTTACAAAAAAATTCCTTATAGCTGCTTACAACTGCATTAAAGTCCAATGTTAAACACGTATTAGGGGATTGCTGCTGGTAGGCTAAATAAAAAAGGTTCAAGCTTTAACCTTACCTTAAGAAACAAAAGGAAAAGTAAAGCTTGAAGGTACTGAACTTCAAAACAAGTATGAAAGAAAACTGATCAAAAGGTCAACTTATGAGTATATCATCTATATACAACCGCCTGTTATCACAGGAGATAACGGCATAAATATCTCCCTGATAACTGATACAAATCCAATATATGTTTACAAGGTGTGGCTGAAATCTCCTAAAAATTGTCAATAAGTGGACCTTGTGCAGAGATTTATTTTCTTAATTAATTGTTAACCTGTATAATAGATGTGGACTTGAAACACCGTGGCACCATGAAGTGCCACATCATTAAGTTTCCAAAACCAGTGATGGAAGAAGTAGTGCAAACAATTAATATATTTCAACTTATCACTTATCACACTAGGATTTAATTTGCTACAGAACAGACATTAAACAATAAGAGTATATCTTGGGAAATAGGGGCCATTAAGCAGAGGTGGATAAAGTATCCAGATCCTTAAGTAAAAGTAATGATACCACAATTTAAGAATACTTAATTACAAATAAGTATTGAATAAGTATCACAGGTATTAAAGTAGAAATCTTACTTAAGTAAAAAGTACATAAGTCCTATCAGTTTAGTGTACTCAAGAATCAAAAGTAAAAATACTGATTGTGCAGAATCTCAAAGTGTTGTATTAATATATAATATTTTATTATTCTGTTTTTATTTTTTAGAAAATGCATATTAGAGTTGTATAATGCTCTACGTTGATATTGTGGTCAAATGTAGGATACTTTTTGTACTGCTGAGTATATTAATACTTGTTGTATTTATGTAAAAAGTGCCAGTAACTAAATCAATTACGATATTTCCCTTTGAAATGAGTGGAAGTATAAAGTAGCATAAAATGGAAATACTCAAGTAAAGTATAAGTTTCCCCAACACTATTATATATATATATATATATATATATATTATATATATATATATATATATATATACATACTAAAAAGTACAGTAGCCTACTTGAGTAAATGCTAGTTATATGCCACCACTACCAATAAGTAAGGCAAAAAAAGTTAGTTGAGTTAAAGAGAAAGTAAAGACATTAAAGTTACGACATCTGGCTTGTTAATTGTGCATGAACTTAGCTTTGTATGTCAGTGTATTCACATCAATTCTACCAGATGTGACAGCTGTGTGTGTAACTTCCGTGCTGTGATTTAATTGGTTTAAAGTGTTTTAGGACAATCCCTCTCTCCGCCTTCCTGCGCTGCATTCCGGAGAACAGAAGGAGGAACAGGGCCTGGTTGTGGGCTGGACCACCGGTGCATTGACCAACAATATCCTGCAGGTCAAACCAGAACAGAGGAGCAACAAGCTGCCAGTGAGGTCAGTTTTAACAGCTCTGTTTTCTTTTTTAATCAACTTCATAAACACGTATGCTAAGCTAACTCGTAACTTAACCTCACTTTCACATTGAGGGAAACTACCTCCATACTTACTTTGCTCCGCTTCGAGGAGGGTTGCATTTGACCCGAGATTGTGATAAATAAGGATAAACCGATCACAATATGGGCTGTTGTTTGCTGTAACAAGTCATAGTTTCACATCTGGGGTAAAGTTCATCAACCATTAACTGGAGAAATGACAGCTGATTTGTAGCATTAGGACGAAACGGTGTTGTGTTCAAAGGCAGCCAGAAGGAGTTGGAAATCAGCAAGATTTAAACAGTTGTGTCACGCGTTTATGTTTCTTCGAGAAATGAACATTTGCCATTTAATGCCAAGACAGAGCATTGTCTTTAAGGTGTATGTCTTAAAAATAATGTTGTGCTTGCTAACACAGTGACCACTTGAGGCATTTTAAGTGTTTGGATATGATCTTCTCATACACAAAATATATGCACTCAATATGACTTATTTGATGGTTTTCTTCGGAGCTGAAGATGTAAGATTTTCCAATATTTCACAAGAATAATAAATACTTGTATCTCCCTTCTTGAACCTGTTTTAATGTTATGACCTCTTGGAAGGTCTTAACTTCGTGGCTGGGTGCTGACTAAATTATTTATATGTATTTGACTGATCTGGGTCGACACAATTCCAGCAATCTTTTGGGAAATATAATGATCTTATGATACTCGTGAAAATTATAAAATCAATATTACATTTTTGAGAAACTATCTCTCTCCTCTTCTTTTTTTTCTCAGTCTGTCAGATCAACGACAGCTGTAGTCCTTTGGATCAAGGACGGCTGATTTCCTCTTTAACCCACTGACTTGTACTGATCCCTCTTTGTTTTTCAGCTCTCTCCAGTATGACAAGTGTCTCAACATTTCCTGGAGATATACCAGCTTGTCCATTAATATCAAAGGTCACATAATAATCTGTCATGTCCAAAGGGATTGCAGCAGCCTTCCCTTATCTGAAAGGAGATGATGTGTCTCAACAGTGGGAGGTTGTTACAAACAGTCCTAACGCAATAGGAAAAGGCTTGTTTATGAAAGCTTTGCTGCAATCACTTGTCAGGCAGACAATGATTATTTCCGAAAGTCTAAAGTAACTCTAGTTTTCATTACATAACTGCCTTCCTCACAATATGTACCGTGTCTCTAAAAATTATCTCGGGTTCATCTCACAATTGATAGCAGGGAACAAAATGACAGACTTTGCTTTGTAATAAAATCAGTGAAGATGTCTCCAACTGCGTTTGAGAAAAAAAACATGTTGCTCAACCAAGCTGTTGCAACAAAATGCAATTTGCAAATACAGAGTCTGGAAAGATTTTATCAGCCAGACTTATAAAGGTCACCCATGGTTGGAGCTGTTTGTCTTCTGTGTAGTTTTATGGATATGAGTTGAGTCTGGTCCGTCATGTGGACGTGTAGACCGTCATGTGGACGTGTAGACCTGAGATTGAACTTCCTGTACAGCTGGTCGGCTGCACTTCTCACGTCTTTGCTGCCTGTTTTCCCAGCAGTACGATCACAGAGGTCATGTCCTTCTTTGATTGATTCCTCTGCCCTTAACATCAGGGTAACCATTGTAAACAATTAGTGTTTCAGAAACTACAGGTGGACTCCACTTATGTCTCCCTGCATGCCATCTGGTAGATTTCAAACAGATGCCGTCCACATGTTGGGAGCACCAGCTTTCATGCCTCTTAGTTTTTCTCATTTGCATCGCTTTGTCATGTTATTTTTGTTGATTCATCTGCAGTTTTCCTGATAAGGTTTGGTATATATGTCAGAATATTATGAGAAATCAATTTGTTTTTACTGTCATTAAGTTCTCAGAACCCAAGGTGATGTCTTCAAGTTGCTTTTTTTCTGGCAGCAGTACAAAATATATCCAGTAAACAGTATTATCAGATTTTTTTTAAAAAGCTGAAAATCCTCATGGTGGAGAAGCAGGAACCAGAGAGTGCAAGGGAGGGAAACAATGATTATACGCTTAAATGAATAATAATAATAATAATATTTTGGGGGGTGCCTTTCATAACACCCAAGGACACCTTACAGGGCATAGGGGCAATATAGGGAACAATTAAAACAGTGGATTTAGTGAAGTATCAGCTGGGGTAGGACAAGACAAACAACAGGAAATGGACTATAGAAGGACACAAAAGGACACAGGGTACAGTTTATAAAGAAAATGCCAGTTTGAACAGGTGGGTTTTGAGTTGGGTTTTGAATGTTGTTATGGAATCAGACTGTCGGATGTGTAGTGTAGTGGGAGTTCCAGAGTCTGGGAGTCGAGGAGCCATGGTTTTGAGGCGAGAGCTTGGGACGGTGAGAAGTCTTACGGACGAAGAGCAGAGGGTGCGGGAGGAGGTGTACTCCTGAAGGAGGTCGGTGATGTAGATGGGGGCAAGGTTATGGAGAGCTTTATATATGAGTAGAAGGTTTTTGTAGTCAATACGGTAGCGTACAGGAAGCCAGTGTAGCTGACTGAGAATGGGGGTGATGTGGTCGGATGAGTTGGTGCGGGGGATGATACGGGCAGCAGAGTTCTGGATTATTTGCAGTCTATTGAGGAGTTTGATAGGAAGGCCAGTCAGAAGTGCATTGCAGTAATCAATCCAGGATGTGACGAATGAGTGGACCAGGATTTCAGTGCTGGGTTGGGAAAGAGAGGAGCGGAGTCTGGAGATGTTCCGAAGATGAAAGAAGGCGGTGCGGGTGATGTTTTTTTATGTGTAGTGAGAATGAGAGGGAGCCGTCCAGAATGACACCGAGCCTTTTCACTTGGGCAGCGAATGGTATGGGGAAGCCATCGATGATGATGTTTGGTGCTGGGGTGTTTTATGTGACTTGGTGAGGGTGGATTTGGAGCCGATGAGCTGGGCCTCAGTTTTCCTACCGTTAAGCTTCAGGAGGTTCCTGCTCATCCAGCTCCTGATGTCCTCAAGGCAGGTGGTGAGGGAGGTTGGGGCAGTGGTGGGTTTGGAGGAAATGTAGACCTGTGTGTTGTCGGCGGAGCAGTGAAAATTAACCTCAATCAATACATTGACTTAGTGTTTTACTTAGAACATGAGATAAACACTTTGTTTGTGTTCTGGACTCATTAGGCAGATTAAACTATAATGTAAATATTGTACATTGAAATGTTGCGTTGCACACAGTGTAGCCTATGGAGACATTCGCTCACTTCACCTGTCCTGTGCGAAACTGAGATTATGCTATTCATTTCTCCTCCTTACAAGAAGAAAAGACACTGAATGAGCAATTGATTTTTTACCCTTTTCTGTGACCCAATCAAGTGAAAGATATCGATTTTATTCAAGGCAATAACTCATTGTATTAATGTAATACGGTAGTTTTCACTTAAAGCTATTTTTCACTTGAGTAATGGCTTGGTTTTTGATTTAAAGTGACATTTTACTGTAAAACATTCAATATTTCCCTTAAAACATTCCCTTGATGTAAATGATATTGAGATCCATTTTGCCTGCATGCCTTCAAGTGAGCTTGTGAACAATCAATCTCCTGCATTAGTTCCCTGCTGGTTCATAGTTATTCATGAGTTTTCTCTTGACTCTAAGCCATAAATGTGACAAATACCTGTATCAGCCCCAACATTTCTGTCTATACTCCTTTTATCTTGTTTCAATCATCACCCAGAGAAACCAATATTGTTTCTTAGTATGTACACATACTAAAAAGCTGAGGTTTTAAGAAAAATTGAAGGAAGGAATATATTTTGTGACTGGTGCAAAGATACTCGTGGAACAGCGAGTCATAAACCTCAGTGATGATGTCACTAGATGTAGATATTAAAAATATATGTGTGTGTTTACATGTATAACTATCCCATACATGACCTACACTTTGATATACCAATCATTGGCCTCATGTATCCCTCTTTTCATGAGCAAATTCAAAAGTTTTATCAGCTTCAGATCTTAACACTTTCATTTAATTATTTCAAGATGATGTTATTTAAAAGAAAAGCAAGCACAAAGTATGGAAATAAACAATACAAAAGAATCAAAATATATCTTAATCCATATTTTGACTTTAAACTTTGACAGTGTAGAGTTTGAAGTGTTAATGGCTTTGCTCGGCTGCAGCATATTCTTTTTTAGGTGCAGTTTCATCCTCATTGCATCATAGTGTTGACAAATGAATTGAACATGCTTGAGTTGCCTTTCAGCCCATTTATCCTTAAACCGTCTGGCAGGACACCCATTCCATTTCCAAAAGTATTACCGATTCTTCTCAAGAAAGTGTATCAGCCTCTTAAACACAGAAATATCAGAGATGTATTTTATCATGCATACCGGGCAGTGTGAGGTGAATCTCTGTGTGTGACTCTTTATATTTTATGTCAGAGATTGAATCCAGCCTTCACAATGGCAGACAGCGGGAAGACTAATGAGAGTGGAGCTGCAGCAGCAGAACCCGATAATGGAGACCAGCAGGTGAGGAGCACTGTGACCCGAAATGACACATATTATAAAACCCAGGCATATTATGAACTCATTTGACGCTCGATAAGCCACTGTGGGGAATCAATCATTATTCACAACAGAATACTTGAACTCTGTCCTGAAAGATCTTAACTTTACGCAGACGGGGTTGTATTTAACTTTTTTTGTATGTCTCTTCAATAATGTTTCTTTTTGACCTAGAATATTGTTTCCCGAGTGAGCCATTTGCCTCTGGTCAGCTCGGCGTGCGGAGCGGTGTCCAGCGCCTACAGTAGCACCAAAGACAGCGTGCCCTTGCTGAAGGGAGTGATGGATGCAGCGGAGAGCGGGGTCCGGACCCTGGGGGCCGTGGCCACTACGGGCTCCAAGCCCCTCCTGGACATTATAGAACCACAGAGTGAGTTCTTGTCTCTCTGTAAAATATGATGTAACATAGTCGCAATGTTGGCGTACTATGAAAGAGGATTGCAAGCCTGTTGCTCATTAAAGGTGTGAAGCCAATGTCGGGTCGAATTGGGCTAAACAAAACAAAAAATCTGAATAACAAAAAAAACAAAAAACATTTTCTACTATGAAAAGAAAATGTAGGATTGTTTATTGGTGTTGTTATTTTAATTTCCACAACTTTGCAATTCAGCATTTATTTCTCATTCATACTAATACACCACTTTATATATTGTACTCTTGATGTTATATATTGCAGTACAATGTACACATTTTTTTATTTTAACTTCTTTGGTTTATATACATGTTTTGTATCTTTTAATTTCACATTCTTACTTTAACCTTTTTAAGTCTATATAAATATCTTTATTTAATTTATTTATTTTACTGCACATCCATACTTTAACAGATTTTTTCTTATATGAATGTTTTTATTCTATTTGTTTCTTATTTCTTTTAAACCATTCTAAAATGGAGCAACCTTTACAAAACCTAATTTCCCCCGTGATACATATTTCCTGTTTCTGTTTCTGGGTATTGCTTCCGACTGATCGGGTTAGCCAAGGATTTGTTTTCTAGTTGAAAACATTTAGTACATTTCTGTTATTCCAGTTGCCACGGTGAACGAGTATGCCCTAAAAGGACTGAATAAGATGGAGGAGAAGCTGCCTATTCTTCACCAGCCAGCAGACAAGGTCAGGCAGAAAATAAATAATGAAGTCAACAAACCTCTCTACATTCTGCATTTGGATTAATTAATTATAACCTTAACCTCTATCATAGTAAGTCGTTTCACAGAATAACAGCCCATTTTATAACGTGTGTGAGGAGTTCACATGTTGAATAACACTTCAGGTAACCATAGCAACACATTTGACACTTCACAATAGGTGCACGAATACTGTTACAATTATTAACAAATAACAAAGCCATGGATTAAGCCACTGACTATTTTCCTTGAAATACAGTATATAGCCATGGTAAAAATGGAATAAAACGCTCCTCCATTAACTGCTCCCTGAATTTCATATAAGAGCTATTAGAATAAAAAAGAAAAGAACCTCCATTTCTCTCCAAGCATGACTCATCATCGGCTCTTCCTTCTTCAGGTGGTGTCGGACACAGTAGGTCTGGTGTACCAGTCGGTGGCGGGGGCCAAAGACGCTGTGCTGGGGGCTGCGATGGGCGGGGTGGAGATGACCTGGGCAGCCATCAGCGGAGGGCTCATGACCGCCATGGGCACCAGGATGGGCCAGATGGTCAGCTCTGGGATGGGCCTGGCACTGAGCCGCTCCGAGGACTGGGTCGAGCAGAACCTCCCCCTCGCTGAGACCGAGCTGGGTCAGTAGCTCTTCTGAATGTGGAACGCATACAGTAATAAGTGCATAACCAGGGGAGGTGTTAAACACATATGGTTAATGTTGAGGTATAGACGGGTGTGTTTTGATTGTTGGATCAAATGAAGCTGAAACCAGGCTAGAGTTGGAATGAATGAATCATAGATAGATAGGTTCTTTATTGATCCCAATTTGGGAAATGTTTGCGTTGCAGCAGCATAAAAAACAAGGCAATGTACATAAGACAAATTTAAGACACAAGAAATAAACAGTCCAAAATATTTCTGAAATAGAGATAAAATAACATTAAAAAGTAAAAAATATATATATACGTGGATGTGGAAAATATACATGTTGAAATTCAACTTTACAGTAACAAATATAATGCAGGATATTATTGTGCAAGAAATTGATTATTCAATATTAAATTGAATATAAATGTAAAATGTACAGTTGGAGTTTAAGTCAGTTATTAAGAGAAGCTATGGAGCAGAGAGTTCTCTTCCGTACAGAGGAGATAGACAACAATTGTCAAGTTTTCTTTGTCACAGCCGATTGTAAATAAACAACAAAAGGTTTAGTGCTTCAAGACACAGTCGGTAAGGATTTAATTTCTATAAAGATATGCATTCCAGGGCTTCATCAATAATGCTTTGATGGAAACAAACTTTAATGTTAACAAATCACAGTTTTTAAATTGATTTAGTTGTCTTTCTATCAATCAAGCACATTTAAATAATTGTAGGGTCCGGGCTTTTATTAACATTTGGATCCAACAATTTGCCTTTTAATGTATTTCATGAAAACAAAAGTGATTACATTCCTTCTTTCCTTAAATTGGCACTACATACATACATTTTCACTTGCAAACAAAGAATAAATAGTCAAAACAATTGTATATGAATTGGGAGGGATGAAACCCTCTTTAATGGTCACACATGCAGAGCACACAGCACACACAGTGAAATGTGTTCTCTGCATTTAACCCATCCTAGTACCAGGAGTCTAGCAATAGGAGCAGTGGGCAGCTATTGCACAGCGCCCGGGGAGTGGGGGAAGGAGGTGTCCGGTGCCTTGCTCAAGGGCACCACGGCAGGGCAGGAGGTGAACTGGGACCTCTCCAAGTAGGAGGACTTGAACCGGCGACCCTACAGCTCCCAGTCCAAGCCCCTACTGACTGAGCCACTGCCGGATATACTTACACATTGGCATATGAGATCATATCTACATATCTAAATGTCTCTACTAGAGAAACATTTAGATATGTAAAGTTACAGAATGATAAGCTTTATGTCAGGCATTACTGCAGTGTACTTTAGCTTAATTGATTCCATAATTAGTATGCATGAACGATGGCATTTGCAATATTTGTCAGTTACTGTGAGAGTCAGTAGCCAACTCTGTGTCCTTGCTTCACTGAGCTATAGATCAAACAGCAATTTGAGATGAGACTGTCCAAATGAATCATCACTGTAAAGGCAAGACATGGTGATGTGGCAGGATGTGGGTGGTCGCGATTAAAGTGTTAAATTATACCACCGTAATTGGATTTGAACACATAAATGGTTTGGGCTATTCATAGAGAGGGAAGCAGGAATTCCAATGAAATTCCCCTCTGTTAACTTGGCCCATAAAGCACCCTCAATTTCCAACACTCACTGCTTTGACACCTGCTACAGTGATGTCATGTTATCATGACAACCCGCCATACTCCAATATTGCAGGAATACTCAAGAGGCCATCCTCTTCTCTGATTATGGATATACAAATTATGCAATTGCTATTGTTATCAGTGGGAGCAGCTAAGTACCTATGATGGCAGTACTCAGGGGATTTTGGATTTGTTCAGTGGTCACTGTGGTTTTAAACAGAGGCACTGGCAGACTTTGCATTTCCCTTAGCTTCCACGGACTGATGGTCGGGGGAGCTGAGGTGGCTTTCAAGTATTTTTGTTCTCCTGAGCAGATGGTTTTTAACTCTTACAGAGTCAAGTAGTCCAACTTGTAACAGATACACCAATAAGCACTGCTCCATCCATCACTCAAACCATCACCACCACCTATACAGAATTCTGTACATGTGAGTTTCTTTAGTGTACTTCCTCATTTGGCAGTTAAATATATATGACAAAGGATAGATCAAGAGTTATCCCACTTATTACAGTGCTACTTATTTAATAAATGAATAGTTTGAGACATGATATTAGTTATTTTCAATAAAAAGGATAGTATTGCTGCCCTGTTTTCAGAGATTAGTACTCCATCCATAGCATTGGTCTGTTATCCATAGCAGCAGTCTGTTATAAAGGAATATAGACATACAGAACATATAAAACTATAATTAGACCTTTGTGCTCCCATCTACATATGTAATGCTTAATTTATATATTAAACATTTATTGGCACATTTGAGAATATGAGATTTATACTTTCCTTTTCAGCTGCTGTGGCTGAACCTGCCAGCAGTGAGGTGACCGCGTCAACCACCCCCCCCAGCTACTTTGTCCGCTTGGGGAAACTCTCAGCCAAAGTCCAGGAGCGGGCCCTGCAGCACTCCCTGGGCCGGGCACGACATGCCAGGGATGCCACCTATTCTACAGTGGCTCAGATTACCAGTACTCTGGACCTGCTAGAGACTGCTCGCGCAGGTCTGGGTACCGCCAGTAACCAGATAGGAGGAGCCTCCGAGCAGCTGCTGCAGCGCTGGACCGAGTGGAAGCAGAAGCAGGCTGGAGCTGGACAGACCGAGTCCGAGCTAGATGGGACCAGAGATGAGGCTGAGGTCAGGGCTAAAGCTTTGGGAGTTGTCTTAATGGTTTCTAACAGGATTATGTTTGCATTTGATTGCATTTGAGTGTGTATGCCGCACATACAATGAAATAATGAAAGAAAGCTTTATAGCATAACAGTGATAAGAACAGAGCAAGACTCTTGGAATTAGCACTGAGTCCAACTTTTTTTATTTTAGAGGCTGATATTGTATTGTAATGCCCCCAAAGATTCACATTACAATATAAATACATAATACAAATTACAACATAGACTATCCAATTGACAACATTGTAATGTAAATTACAAATTAAATAAATACATTTAAAATGAAGTACAATCAAATTAAATGTAAGACCCAGGATTATGTTGAAGGCAAGCCTGAGCCAGCCATAATTTTAAGCTTTATTAAAAAGCAAAGTCTTAACCCCACTCTTAAATGACGAGAGGATGTTCAACAACAAACAGAGCTGGTTCCACAGAAGAGGAGCCTGATAGCTGAAGGCTCTGGTTCTCATTGTACTTATGAAGACTCTAGGGACCGCTAATAACCCTGCATTCTGGGAACGCAATACCCTAGTGGGTGGTTACTATGAGCTCTTTAAGGTAGGATGGAGCCTGAATATATTACATTGAGTCAGCTGAATTGGGATAAGATGGGGAAACTACCCTGGCCTAAGGAAGGCATCTAGTGGCAAATCCTGGGCTTTCATTTTTCTGAATCCACCTGAGGTTAGGTGAGGGTGTCTGACACACTAAAAGCACTCACAGAGATGCTGTTTAGTTCAACTTAAAGTAAAACATTTACAATAAACTCCGGTTGACTTCCCAGAAAATAAAATAAATCAAAAATCTAATTATCGTTATTGTGATCAAACATTTTTGTTACCTTTCCATTCACAGCAGCTGGAATGGCGGGTCCTCTCCATGGTGCAGGGTCTGAGCGACCAGCTGAAGTCAGCGTGCTCCAGCGTGGTGTCGAGTGCTCAGGGTCTGCCAGGTGCGGTCCAGGACCAGCTGACCAGCGCACGGCGATCTGCTGAAGAACTGCACGCCTCTCTGGGGAACACCAGCACCATCACACCCCTCCTCCTGGAGCAGAGCCGTCACAAGCTGATCCAAGTACTAATTGCTCCACATTGTCTTTACCGCAGTGTTTAGTTTTGCTTCATCAGCTAAGCTAAATATAGTTTTTTGCTTGACGTTTTATTGCCTTTTTTCATTGCATTTGCTTCACGCAGTTGGTCTTTCCATTACCTTTTAAATTGGTGCTGGAATAATACCCACAGTCTTATTGAACAAGAATTAAACAGAAAACTGCTGCATACTTTACACAACCAAACATCCAATCTCAGGGGTGTCTGCTGATTAATATGCATTACTGAAAATAGGACAGTCAAGCTTACAGTATATTGTATTTAGTAGTGTACACATTAAACCTCAGTATTTCCTGCTACCAACAAGCTAAGCTTACTTTTTAGGTAGAGTTTGTGATCAGATTTTCGTTTAGTAATATTGTTGAAAGTGATACTAGTATGTCCTTGTTCCCAGGTTAAGCAGTCCCTGGATGGTGTCATGGAGTATCTACTGAACAACACACCACTCAATTGGTTGGTGGGACCTTTTGCTCCGCAGATCACTGAGAGGGCAGAGGGAGCTGCGGCAATGGAGCCGAGCAAACCACACGACTAGACTTCAAGACTTTGTTGTGTTCATGAGTTATTCAAGGTGATGACAGACATCTGTGTACTGTAGATGCACCATCTAAACATAAATATGCTTGTTTTAATGAAAAAAGGCCTTTCATTAATCAATGTTTTCTACATTATGCACTAATTATTGTATCTGTGAAACTAAATGTGTGATATAAAAGTTAATGGAATTCAATCATAACCAAAAGCACTGACCTGTGGCCTTTGAAAATTAACTAGTTTGTGCATTTATGTTTCCTATAAGATTATAGTGTTTTTACATATCAATGTATGTATCCTCTCATACTGCTGTTTGAAAGACTTTTAATAGTGCCTTAAAATAAGTCAAAGCAATTCCTTAAGAATAATCCAAATGAAAATTGTCTTTCAACACAGCTTTAACAAGTTGTGTTCATATAGTGTTTTCATTTATTGAAGGATTTGCAGTTATTATTTCAGTATTTTGTGTCTGAACTTTGATAGATTCAGCTAATGAGCTGTCAATAAGCTGACATGTCAAAACAGTACAGTATTAATGTCATGGCTGAATACATTAATAAAGGTGTTATTCCTGAGTTTTTGAGTTGTTGTTTTTTGGGGTGGTGGACTTTGCTTGTCACACTGACTGAAGGTTGAATCAATGCTGAGGATGACTTTGTTTTATTTAATGTTTCAGTTATTTAATTATAAACCCAATATCCTGTGTAAACTTTCGACACTTCTTGATTTTAAGAGGCTGATCAGACAATTAAATGAAAATAATTGTGCTTGTGCAAGCTATGGAATAATGAGTAAATCAGTTCATAATAGCTCATAACTAGCTCTAGTATTTTTCTCTGCAAGTACAACAGCTTGACTCTGCAAAAACCATGTGTTATAAGAATAAGTAATAAGATGTATAGTTCATAGGTTTATCATTTGTTTTTAGATGTGCATATTTTATTTCAGTATCTTGTCTCTGAACTTTGGATTGAGCTAATGAGTCAAACAGTACAGTGTTGTTGCCATGTTTGAATACATTAATAAAGGTGTTATTCCTGAGTTTTTTAGATGTTATTTTGTTGGGGTGTTGATGTTGGTGGACTTTGCTGTGCTGGCCTCACTGACTGAAGGCTGAATCGATGCTGAGGATGACGTCATGGTCGTTGTTTCGAATGTCGCGAGCTAGCGCAGGGTAGGAGGCCGCGCGCTCTACTGTGGACAAAACTTGTACAAATCTGAAGCCCGAGGTCGTCGACAGCCGCCGGTAACTTGAATTTCAGGTACCGTCTTCATCTTAGACAATTATGGGAGACTCACGGTGTCTGTAACCGACTTTAAACCGGCTCTCCCACTGTCGGCGAGCGCTCTGTTTTTGGGGCTCGCTGATTATGCTAGCAGTGGAGCTAACGCTAGCCTGCTGCTAACACTAGCGTTTATTCGATTTAAAACATAATACGTGTAAACAGTCTGTCGCTATGGACGCTGTTCTTTTTTTTTTCTTGACCTTAGCCATGATTTAAGGCTACCACGGTTTTTTTGTTATTCTCTTTGTGTTGGTTTCTAGTGTAAGACAGACAAAACGTCCAGCGAGGGTGTTTGCTAATGTAATACAGTGTTTGCTTTGAGCTATGCAAGCATAGGACGCCGATTGTTTTCTGCTGCGGACAAACTCAAACACTCAGCTGTAAGTTGTTCAGCTAGACTGTAACCAACGTATCGTTTGACAAGTTTGACAGGTAATCGCTTAAAGGCAGGCTTTGTTTGAGTTTTCCTGGAGGGTTTTATGTGGACCTGTCTTTAGTTTCTGCTTGTTAACTTTATCCTGACCAAAACATCTTGCTGTGCGGTGGAAGAAAGCATAAACTAGCTAACTGTTTTCGCCTGTAGCTTGTTTTGTTCAGTGAAACTGAGACCCTTTCTTTGTGTTTTTTATGTTTAATTAAGTGCATAGCTCCCCACTTAGCTTTTGTGAGAAACCTGTATTTGAATACTTCAAAACTCCCAGACCATTGTCCACATTTTCCTGGAGGAGCATGTCATTAATAAGTGATACTTTTTATATTGTATTTTGTTGTTATCGTATTTTGGTATTTGGCCTTTTACAAAAATGTAGAAACACAATTTGGTCAAAATGAATTGTTAACAATGACAATTTACAGTTCTGCTTGAATGGCTAAAATTGACTTTTTAAATATGTTTATGGTGTTTGACTGAATTTAGTTTGTAGGTATGATACTGTTAAAAAACCTTAATTATAGCTACATTAAGAAAGTCATTACCCCACAGGTCACTTAAGTCATATATTTAATTTACAGTTCTGCTTTAGTGACTTAACTCTGTTCATGGACTGAATTTAGTTTGATGAAGGTATGATCCTGTTTGCCAGCTACAATTAGTAGGTTTTACCCATAGGTCCGTAACTAATACATTTTATTTTCTCAAACTCAACAATCATGCTCCAAAACCAGTCTCCATACCTTCTTAAACTTCAAATATGAATAACCGTGCTAATCATTTGGACTCACTTCTGCTCATTTTCAGGAATTTCCTCTCCCATCCCCCCTTGCCCCCTCTGTCAGAGCATGGCTCAGGAGACCAATCAGACGCAGTTGCCAATGCTTTGCACTATGGGATGTGGTTTCTATGGTAACCCCCGAAACAACGGCATGTGTTCGGTCTGCTACAAGGAAAACCTGCAGAGACAACAGGGAGGGGGGAGGTCCAGCCCCCCGGGAGAGAAAGGTAAAAATATGGAACGGGGTCACCCAAAAACTGTACAGTCAGGCTAAAAGGGGTTGGAGAACAGAGGTAGCATTTTCTGCCAACACTGTGGCCTCAGAAAGCTAGAAAGTGACTCCATGTGTTGTCGCAAACTAAATCTAAACAACTCTGGTCATATGAGACAAACACAAAAGAAGAGTGGCTTATATTAGGATACCAAGAGACTCACTGAAAGGCCATAAACAAAAGGTTCTGTGTTGTTGATACTATTGTGTTGTTCTGTCCTCCACAGCTGCTACATCACCGGCAGGATCACCGGGGTCAGCTGGTGTGACTGTGGAGAGTTCAACCTCAGAGCCCAGTACAGAGGTGGCAGGAACCCCACCTGAGGAACAAACAACCAGGTATGTTGATGGACAGATGAAAAAGTGGAGGGTCATTTAAACTTGTATTCATCAATTGAAATTAGGAACAAAATATCCTGTGTTCACTGTGAAGACTTCTTGTTTTTAATAAGCTGATAAGTTCAATGAGAATAATTGGAAAACTTGTAGATGGTGTTTGTCACTCTATTTCACAATTGATTATGTTATGAAAATACCTGTTTAAGTAAATAATTAGTACATCAGTTTATCACAAGCAGTAGCACACTGTGTTCTCATTAGTAGCTTCCGTTAACGGCTTGCCTCTGGAAAAAACACTTTGAACTTAACTCGATGACTCTGCGCTTTCTGGTAAAAGCTCTTTATGTCCCAAACAACTCTTTTCAGACACTAGAAGTAATATGCCACAATATGCTAACCATATTGTGTTTGTTTTTAGTAAACAAACATAATCCTTATCAGTAAGCAATCTTGGTACACCTTACCTTTTTTTATTTGAATTGTTGTTATGGATGGTTAGTCATTGGGTAGTACTGACCAGCGCCTTCTCTGTGTTGTTGGTTTTGCCATTTGAACCAAGTCTTTTGTTATTTTTCAAAGGTTTAAAGTTAAAACACATTTGTTGTAGTGGTGAACAAAGGCTGAATGATTCATACAGAGCTCTCTTGTTTGAAGTTGACACTGAAAGAGAGAGCTGAAGGGTATTGGTCTGTGTTTTAAAGACTTGCCAGAGGGCCAGTCCTTCAAACTGCTGCACATTGTTGCTGACGTCCTCCGTTTTCCGTAAACATGTTGTCCCGTATAGTTTGATTTAGTTACGCCAATAATTAATTATTGATAGATAATTGGATATTTTATGTGACGGGTGAGAACAATTATTTAAGATGAGGATGTTTGAGTTCTGTGACATTGTTCTAAAAGTAGATATGTTGTTTTGTTTGCGCTGGATTTTGTAAAAGATGCCTCTCATTTCCTGAAAAGAAACCAAACAGTGACAATAGACCAGATATACATATTAGAGGAAGAAAATCAGATACACTTCTAAAGGAATTCATATTTGAGCAGTTACTGTATTGTAATATTATCCAAGACCCATGCCTATATCTCTGTAGGGATGGGTATCGTTAAGGTTTTAACTAATGCTGTCAAAATTATCGCGTTAACGGCGGTAATTTTTTTAATGAATTGCGTTAAAATATTTAACGCATTGTGCAGAATGGCCCGCCCCATACATCCCACCAGTGGCAGCGCCAGGGTATGGCTGGGGTAGGCTACAGCCATACCAAGAAATGGCTTAGCCCCACCATGAAAAATGATGTTAAAGTAAGCAAAATAAAGTCCGCCAACTCGCGCCGAGAATTGCACAGACAGCAGTTAGTAAGATTGATTTCAGTAGCCACTTGTCTGGAAATACCGAAGACTAGAAACGGTTTTGAAAACTTTTGTCACGTAGTGATCGTCTTCTCAATAGAACATCTTTGATAATGTCTTCTGGCTAATCAGAATCAAGATAACGGCGTGGCGTTGTTGCAGGAAGTCCTGACTACTTTTGCTGTAGTACATATCGATACAACATTACGTGTTGATAGAAATCAACACGTAATGAAATAAGACGGTTTGATGATTGATAGGTGTGTGGACTGTCTTTAATTTTAACACACAGAACAATGTTATAATAAACATACATACATAGGCCTACTCCTGTATGTTAAATGGATATATCCGCCTTCTTTCATTTATCTTTCCATTCCCACAACAATATACATAAAGAAATGGCATATTTTAGACATAGTTCGCATGGTGATTAATCATGATTAATTAATTTTTAAGCTGTGATTAATCTGATTAAAAATGTAATCGTTTGACAGCCCTAGTTTTAACGGTACTACTACTTTTATCGATACCGCTTATCGGTCCGGTCTTTCAGCGGTTCTTTTAGAGAGAAAAATAGGGTAAACTAACTTAACAAATTGTGAACAAAACTAAAATTGCCTTTTATTTAAATGAAATACATAATATTTCACATCAAAAGAAACAACAATGTTTAACAAATCGTATTAAATAATCTGATGACAGACCTGTAAACAGAATAGCTGAAAC